CGAAGAATTGAGGCAGTTCTGAAGGCAAAAGAGGGTCCAACCCGTTACTAGCGTGGTGTACCTAATAAAGTGGCCGGTGAGTGTATAGACTAATTTATTGAAACTAACCTGGAAAAATAAACAAGAAAGTCAATTAAAATATAAAACAGGAGATAAAGTTCTCTAATTGGTGCCTTTAAGTGTATTTATTTAATAGTTCGTTTATGTAATTCTGCTTTTATTTCTAATTATGTCAGTTTTGGTCCTCCGTACTGCAGAAGCCTGATAATCATTCATTCATATCAGGTGTGTTGGAGCAGAGAAACAGGTAAAACATGCAGGGCTGCGGACCTCCAGGACCAGGACTGCCCACCCCTGTTTTAAATTTTTCCTTTTACTTGCAGTTGTTCGGTTTGAGCTCCTAACGAGCCGCTTGACGAAGCTCGCTTCATTTTCGTTACAGCGTAGGAGCACAAATCTTTACAAACAAAAGTCACCTGGTCTGTGTTATCTTTAAGTTCTGATGAGAATCAGCTGATAACGTTAGTGATTCTTTAGTTTCTTTTGTTTTGATCCAGACAATTTGTTATCGAACGCTAACGTTAGCACTGAACGTCAGAAGGATGTAAACATACGGCAAGTCTGGAGAGACAAAATATAGAAACGTRTTTCAGACATGAGGACGAATCCATCTCATGTCCTGTGAATCGGTTTTCCAAAATTCAAACAAAATCGATCCAAGATGGATTAAATCGATTTGTTTACCCAGGCCTAGTCTTAAATGACCAAAACTACAATAAACTGTCTCTAAAGTAAGAAATGCACGAAACAAAGAATAAAAACAATAAAATAAGGATAAAACAAGCAGAAATAGATGTGTTTTTAAGAAGTACCTCTGAGTCGTTCTGTGACGAAGCTTTCTCCTCCTCCTCCTGGCGTTTCTTCTTCTTCTCACAGGATCCTCCCTTCTTGCATTTCCCGCCGCAGCTCTTCTTCTCTCCTCTCGCCAGAGCCTGGAGGCGGCTCAGGAAGCGCACCTTCCAGGCCTGGAAGTCGGCCTGGACGCTGCCGTGGCGACTTCTCACCACGTTGCAGTCGCCCTGCGTCCTGGTCATGATGCGCCTGGCGCTCAGCATCCACAGCCACTTGTCCACGTTAGTTCCCACCTGGAGACAGGAAAACACAGGTGGGATTACGGCCCGAGTCCCACTCCTTAATGGTTTTGCTCCAGGCGAGTTCTGACCGTGTTGTAGTGGCCCACGTAGACGGAGTCCCCCAGGCCGAACACGGCGTATCTGAGGCCTTCCAGGAAGCTCTTCCCGTATCTGAAGTCGGTGGACGCCTCTTCCAGCCACTTGCAGAACCACTCTGCGTTGTCTGTGGGCCGTCCGTCGGTGTAGGTGGCCACGAGGAAGACGCAGATCGACTTACTGACGCACTGAATAAAGGCGAGACGATGAAACAAAAACACACAGTTTCACAATCCAAGTCAGGTTTCTGGAGACAAAATGTGCTTTATAAAAGGTACAAACTAAATTTATAATATCTGTTGAAATCTAAAGCCACAGAGCTACTCCCATCACACAAGAGCCCTGAAATATTTCACTTTTTCCATTTAAACAAGAGTCTGTTTTTATTTTTACTGGTTTAAAGCACAGCCCTACTTTAAACTAACCTAAAACTGACTGATTCGTGATTAGGGGTGTAAGAAAATATCGATACACTGAAATATCGCGATATTTCA